TGACGACAATACCCCCCCCCCCCATCCACACACACACACACACACACACAGAGAGAGAGAGAGACCGATAGGCATCCTCCCCGCCCCCGCCCCGCACTCACCCCATGCAGGAAGGGGTCTCGGGTGAACCAGCCGGAGGACGTGGCGGCAGGACAGCTCGTCGGGGGCGGTGGGGGTGGGGAGGCGGCCGCTGCTGCTGGTGGGGCTGTGGCTGTGGCTGGTGCTGTGGTGGCAGAGGTTTGACCCAGCTGCTGCTGCTGCTGGGTGGTCGTTGTCATTGTCTGCGCCAGGGTCGAGCCGCGATAGCCCTCACTAGTACTCGCCCGCACCGCCACACTGCACAAAGCCCGGCACCCAGTCACTGCTCGTGTGACATCCTCCCCTCCCTCCTTCTCACCTCTCGCTGGCCCTACCAGCAGCCATCTGTCCATCGCCCCCAACTCCACCCGCCTCGGCCGCCACATAGTCTTTGCCGCCGATCCCACCACCACCACCACCACTGCCCTGCTGCAACTCTCCTCCACTACTCGACGACACTGCTGCTGGTGCGGCCGCAGAGGGCGCCGCTGCTACGTCCGTCGGGCTGCTCTGGACAGCAGCAGCAGGGCTGGGAAAGGGTATGTCAGCTGTAGTAGCTCCAGCTAATGTAGCAGAGGCAGAGGCAGAGGACGGCGGCTGGGGCACGGTTGTTGTGGCCGCAGCAGCAGCAGCAGCCTCTTAAGAGACGAAGGAAGGGAACCAAGCGTGTGCACGTCTCTGTGTGGCCATCCGTCGCGCACTCACCTCTGGGCATTTCTGCCGGCTTGGAGAGAGATGGTGGCGCTGCCACGGGCACAGCACCACCACCACCAGCAGCAGCAGGAGGAGGGGCCTGAATCGGCCCGGGGGCCGGCGGCCTCATAGCAGGCAGCGACATCTCCTTTGGCAACAGCGCCGCGTGTGTCGGCCGCGCCTTAGGCGACGGCGGCGCGTCGAAGGCCAGCTCCCCCAGCAGAGTGGCCTCCACGGGCCCGCCCCGGGACACCAGCCCCCGGCGGCCCGCCAGGTTCCACACGATGCAGTGGTTCTGCTCGATGAGGGAGAAGGTGCCGGCGCTGCACTTGAGGTCGTGGTTGCGGATGGCCCCTCTGTGGTGGAGGGGGAGGCGGACTTGGCAGCGCGTGAAGGAGGCCGCGATGGAGGGGTGGAAGTGGATCTGTAGGAGGAGCCGCAGCTCGGTGGGGGAGAGCTCCTTGAGCTGGTAGGCGCCCTTGAGCGGGACGATGCTCGACCTGTTATATCGGTACCTGACGGTCGACAGACAGACAACATCCACTTGTGTGTGTGTGTGTGGGAGGGGGAGAGGGGGAGGGGGGAGGTGCCTGCTGAGAATGAAAGGTCCAGTGGGCGGTGTGCAGGTGATCTTGAGGATGTTGGCACTGCCCGACACGGCCTCGCTGCGGGTCGTCAGGGTGGCGCTGTTGTGCACTGCACAATGCCGCACACAGACACACACAGACACACAGTCTGTTTGCTGGGTTCCCGTCTGTGTGGGGGGTGTGTGTGTGTGCCCCAACGGGCATACCTGTGATCTGTGGAAGGTTGTTAGGCTCCCGGAGAGTGAGGGGCACACTCACCTCGGGTACGCCAGGGCTGCAGGCACTCAGACACGGACCTGCATGTGTGCCTGTACGTGTCTGTCTGTTACCGACTCACATGTCGGCGCAGCAGTGGAGCGTGCCCGAGATGAAGCACTCGTCGGGGTACTCTTCCTCTGATGAATCACACACACGCACACACACACATACACACACTCCCTCCTTCCCTCTCCCTGTGCACTGAGTCACTTCCGTAGAGGGTGCAGTTGACCGTCTCCACAATGTTCAGCGTCAGCTTCGGCTTACCCTGCACACACACACACACACACACACACACACCCGCCACCACATCCACCACACACCAAGACGCATCCAGCCATCCATCCATCCGGCCATCCGGCCATCGACTCAGACAGACCTTGAATAGGAAGGGCTTCCAGGCGGGCGTCCTCTGCTGTGTGGTGAGCGCCGCGTGGGGGTCGGTTCCCTGCGGTGAGCCCTCGTGAAGCTGCTTCAGCAGCTGAGGGGTGAACATGGGGCTGCCGAAGGGCAAGGCTGACTTGATGCAGTACCTGTCGCAACCACAGTGCAGTGTGGGAGGGAGGGAGGGAGGGAGGGAGAGTTGGTTGGTGGCTCTTACTGCAGGTGGGCGATGCCGGCTGAGTCGGCGATGCTAAGGCTGGGCGGGATGAACTCGCAGATGTCCTCCAACACCTGCACACACGCATTCACACGCAGAGTACACACGTGGCCTGGTCTTCTCCCCTCACGTCACTCAGCTGGCTTGGCTCACCTGGAATGCAGCAGTGATCTCCGGCAGATCAATCACCTCCACCGTAGAGATGTCAGGCACCGTCTGCACCACACACACACACACATCCACCCACCAGGCGCGGCCACCCACCCTCCCCCACCGACCTCCAGCCCCACAGCAGCCACCAAGTACACGCCCTTCTTGAAGATGAACACCACCGGCCACAAAGTGCCCTCTCCCGACGGCAGGGTGATGCAGCACACCGGCCCCGCCGGCCAGACCTGCTCCACGAACCGCTCCGAGTTGTCGTCCCAGTGGAAGGCCCCGGGGCTGAAGTCCTTCTTGAAGATCTCCGGCACCTGGGGAGGGATGTACCTAACACACACACACACACACACACACACACACGGACACACAAGCAGCCACAATGAATGCAGATGTGTGTGTGTCTGTGTGTGTGTGAGACCCACTGACCTGTCTTCCTCCTCTTGCAGGATTTGTCTGTAGAAGAGGTGGTGGAAGGTCTCGTCATTGGGCAGTGGCACGTAGGACGGCCCGTGCAGGTGGCGAACGCGACTCTCTACTGTGCGGAAGCGCCTGCATGTCATTGACACACCCATCCTCCCATCCACTCATCCACTCATCCACTCATCCACAGTCCCACAACCAACAAAGGCTGTGCACGTGATGGATGTGTGTCCTCCAACACCGCACCTTACCTGGATAGCAGCAGACGGATGTCCGTGTCGGCTCGGAAGATCCACAGACCCCGCAACGAGCACATCGGACGGACGCAGCAGGGCAGATCTATCTGCGCAGATCTGACGACCCTCGCGGCGGCCGGGGATGAATCAAAACCGTTTCTCAGCTACGGCACCAGCCACGGATGCGCTGTATGAGGCTACTTACGAGGCTACCTGCGCCTTTTTCTCAGCCCCATCAGTTGCGAGCTTGGCTGTGAGATCGCGGAACCCGCCAACACGCTCCTCCGATGGTTTGAGGCCTTGATACGACTGGATCTGACCACCATGAAGCATCTTCGATGCATCCTGAGCCTCCTTCTCCTCCTCCTGCTCCTCGCGCAAGCCAAAGATCTCACCTCTACCGCTGACGCCGGCACCACAGCGGTAGGTAACACACACGCACACCCGCCACACACAGGGACCACACAACGCAGATCACGCCCAGAGAGATCTCACATGCTGGCGTGTTGGTGTGTGTTTCCTGGCAGGTATCTGCCCATCCGCCGCCGGAGAGCGGCACTCCGACATCTGGCGAGAGATCGGAGGCCTCGCCACAGCCGGCGGAGGCAGCGGAGGGGTCGGCGGGCCAGCAGGAGAACCACACACAGACACAGACGCCGACGGAGAGGAGGGAGGAGCCACCGGCAGAGGAAGCGGCGAATGGTGCATCGCCGCCACCAGCTGAGGCCACAGCCACCGACAGTGGCGACCATGCAGCTGACGCACGAGGTGGTGGTGATGGTGATGGTGAGGCATCGAAAGAAGAGCCCCCCACCGCCTCCCCTGCACCCACAGCAGCAGCAGCGTCACCACCAACAGCGGCGGCACAGCCACATGGTGCAGAGGCGACAGACACGGACCAGGATAAGCCGACAGAGGTAGGTGACATAGCTACACGAAGAGAGTCCACACACAACACAGCACTCATTGATTGCCTACCATACGATTTGATTTCGTCCAACCATCCCATCTGTCTGTCTGTCTGTCCGTCTGTCTGTATGTGTGTCTGTGTCTGCCACCAGGCCGCAGCCAGTACGTCTGATGTGCTGACTGCCGCCACACGCGGCGAGGAAGCAGCGACACCGATAGATGCCGAGTCTAGTGGCACCAACCAGCCAGATGAGCCCCCCTCCCCCTCCCCCGCCTCCCCATCTGAGGCACCACCACCACCAGATGGCCACTCAGATCAGCCGCCGACACACGAGCAGCAGCCAGTGGTAGATCACGAGTCGAGGCGCCTTGATGAGGAGAGGCCACCTGGTCAGCAACCCAGTGAGGCCCCGCAGCCAACGGCCCCAGTGGCAAAGGACCAGACCCCTTCGGATGAGCCGCCCGCCGCCCCAACACGCGAGGACGTCGGCCACGAGCAGCAGCAAGAGGCGCCATCATCGCCCCCCACCCCTCCCCCTCCCCCTCCCTCGACCCCCGCACCAGCGCAACAGCAGCAGCAGAGGCAGCAACGACAGGTGACTCCCAGACCAACACCTGCTGCTGCACAACCGGGGTCAGAGGCCCCGACGAGGAGAGTTGACCGACCGACGCCCACCCCACCACCCCCACAACGGCGCGTGCAGGAGGCCTCAGAGCCCACAGGGGCTCCAGCGGTCTCAGAGGCCCCAGCGAGGCGAGTTGAGCCCACCCCACCACCCCCACCAGCCCCGCAGCCTCCTTCAGAGGCACAGGCACCCGATTCTGCTGCGGTGCCGTCCGCTCCCTCTCCCTCCCCTGGCCAGCAGCAGCAGCAACAGCAGCGACGGCGGGGCTCTTTCTCGCAGCTGTACCACCGCCAGCAGGAGCAGCAGCAGGTCACACCACCGCCACCTCCGCCCCAACAGGAGCACCACCACCACCAGCAGCAAGTGACGCCGCCTCCCCCCGGCCCGTCACGCTCTCACATGGATGCACCACCGGTTGTCACGCCGCCCCCCGAAGCCGTCCATACGGCAGCAGATGACGCCCATGACGTCCACGATGCTCATCCTCTTCAAGAAGAGGCAGAGGCAGAGTGGGACGAGCACGAGATGCGCGAGATGGAGGGCATGCCCTTCTTCGACGACGACTACGAGGATAACGTCTACGGCGAGGACTTCATCGACAGTGACCATCCTCACCACGAGCACCAGCACCAGCATCAGCACGAGCCCCACGAGCCCGTCACCAAGCCGCCCACGTGCCGCGCGGGCGATGGGGAGAGCTGCCAGGTGCAGCCGGACGGCAGCCCTCTTGTCGACTGGAACCAGGTGCAGCAGCAGCTGATTGACCAGGAGCAGGAGGACCACCAGGGCAACGATCCAGAGGCTCCTCCGAGCAAGAAGGAGAGAGAGGGGGAGGGCGGTGCTGCCAAGACAGAGACACAGCCACAGGCACAGCCGCAGAAAGAGGCAAAGGCGGTGGGTGCCGGCTTGTTGAAGAGGATGGTTGGGTGGATGGGTGTGGCGGCCCGAAGGACGACACACGGCATACGGCGGCTGACGGGAGTGACAGGCAAGCTCCGTCGGCCCACGGACCCACCAGGTCTCTCTCCATCGACATGTTTCTCTGTGTGTCTGTCTGGTGTGCAGGTGGTTTGGGGCTGGTACCACTGATGGAGTGGACGGCCAGCGGCGCTCAGCTAATCAAGTCGGTGGCCCAGCAGCAGGAGGGGCCCACTCAGTATGTCATATTCATCGCGGCCGTCGCGATGGTAAGCCAATGGGACCCTCACACACACACACACACACACACACCCCTGGCTGCATCTGTCTCCTTGTGTCTCGTGTGTGCAGGGCCTGTATGCCTTTTGGTGCGGGTTCGTGTGGGTGTGGCCGCCCGAGAAGGACCAAACCGACTTCAAATGTACCCCACCACACACATGACACACACCACACCACCCCCGGCCGCCTCACCGCCTCCATTACGTATGTGTGTGTGCAGATCGCGGCGGCCAATACCACTTTGAGATAATGAGGGAGCTGCACGGCATGCGAGAGTGAGCCAACCACACCCCACAGCCCAAAGACACAGCAGCAAGCAGACCATTGTCCTTCCCTCCCTGTGTGTGCAGTGCCATCAAGCGTGTGCAGCAGCAGCAGGACCAGCAGAAGCTCTCCGACCTCGACACGCGCACCCAGGCCATGGCAGCCAAGCTCACCGCCCTCGAGAAGTCACTCACCAACACCGCGATTGTCAGCTCATCAGCAGCACCTTCAAGCAGGCCCCCAGCGCCCCCCTCGCCAGTGCCCTCAGCAGCAGAGAGGCCGCCCACAGTGCCCATTATCACATCGCCGCCACCCTCTGAAGCGAGTAAGACAGAGAGGGGGGGAGGCTTTGTGCAGAGGGGTGTGGTTGATGGCGTGGTGCTGGTGGTTTGGCTCGTGTGGGTGTGCTGTGTCTGCAGATTTCTCTGTGCGTGGGGTGTCGCTGAGCGAGCGGCTGATTCTGCGGACGATCAAGGAGAACCTCAACGACCTGCACCAGCGGCACACCGACATGAGCAACATTCTCCTGGCCTCACACCAGTACGCTACGCCCAGCACCCCAGCCACTCACATCACAGACACAGCACAGGTGTATCTCTCTCTCTCTCTCTGCCAGGGATCTCATGCGAGCGGTCGCCTACCTGCTCCCGCCAGACCTCCGTGCCGAGCTCGTTCGGCGCATCTCGCACCCCCGCCCCGAGAGGCCCCTGGCCATCACGTCGCCCGAGCGCCGTCAGCGAGCCCCCCACACCAAGACAACCACCACCCCAGCCAAGCCGTACGACGTCCCGCTGCCTCCCAATTTCGTCCCGCCCCCACCGCCTGCTGTGCCCGTCACACACACGCACACCCACAGCAGGAGTGAGGTTGACGGGTCGACCAAGAGTAGTGGTGGTGGTGGGCCGCCGGAGACCTCTGTGTGTGAGGGGGGAGATGCGGATGGCGCTGATGGGGAGAAGGCGGCCTCGCCCCAGGTCATGCACAACAACAACAACACCACGGCCGCGGCGAATGCGGAGCGGTGGGAGGCCGATGCCGAGGCCGGTGTCGATGTGGACGTGGATGTGGAGGGAGGTGGAGGGAGTGGGGGAGGGGGCGTGGCGACGGCAACCACCAGCATGACCAACGTCGCCCCTACTGAGGAGGAGCCCGCCCCCCAGCCAACACCGTCTCCCGCAGGCTCACCCTCACCAGTCAAGAAGGAGACCGGCGACCTTTTCCCAGACAGCACGCCCTCCCAGGACCTCTTCCCAATGATTCCCAATCATTCTCCCGAGAACGATTTTTTCACCTCCACCAACCAAGAGATGGAGATGGGCGGTGGGGGCGGGGCGTCGGTGACGCACCTCTCCTCCAACACCATGATGGACGAGGTGGGTGTGGGTGGGTTTGGAATTGGCAGCAGGAGGGAGACCATCAGCAGCACCAGTGGCAGCTATGGTACTGCTGGTGCTGGGGGCGAGATGGGCTACATCGGCATGGGTGTGGGTGTGGGTGTGGAGGGCGGCCTGGGCTTCCCCGCACAGAACACCCCACAGGCCTTCCAGCAGCAGCCGCCGCCGCCGCAGCCGCCAGGATTTGCCGTGCAGTCCCCGGCTAATGCCAATCTCGTCAACGGCCCGGTGCACCCCCACCCCCACGCCCATATGACCCACCCGCACCCGCACCATCCTCACGTCAAGAGAGGTGGCACTCCTTCGCACTTCTTTGACGATCGCCAGCAGCAGCAGCAGCAGCAGCCGCCCATCATCGCGACCCCCACACACAACCACAGCCCGCACCCGCACCCCCAGGCCGGCTCTCTCCCCAACGGCATCCCCACGACCCTGAGTGTGCCCGCTCACGCGGCACACGCGACCCTCAGCCCTTCTAGCATGACCAGCCCACACACAGCAACACCGGCTGCAGCAGCAGCTGCTGCTTCTCCTGCAGTGGTGACACGAGGAGGAGGCAGGCCGACCCCTGTAGCCCCTGCAGCAACGAAGAACCCCTTCGGGGCACCTGGCATGCAGGTTTCTCCTCCTCCAGGTGCCGGTGGTGGTGTGGGGGGTGCAGGCGGTGGTGGTGGTGGTGGTCGGGCGGTGCTGCCGCATCTGCGTCCAAATGCGAACGCGATGTTGGCGGCACAGATGCCGCCGCCATTTGGTGGGGCTGGTGTTGGGCCTGGTGGTGGGACACAGCAGCAGCCGCTCAACCCCAAACAAAACCCATTCGGTGAGTGAGTGACTAAGGCGAGAAAGAGACAGACAGCTTTGTAATCTCTCTCTCTCTCTCTCTCTGTGTGTGTGTGTGTGTGTGTGCATTGCAGCGCACCACCGATGAGTCTCGGGGTCGATAGACACCAGCGGATGGATGGGAGGCGCTAGCTGCATTAGATGTGGGGACCTTAGCTTGGCCAGGCCAGCGTAGCCTAGCGTAGCGTGAGTGGCTGCCATTCAATGCATTGCCTGAGGGGGTGGTCAGGTGGGGTGATAGCCCCCGCGTTTTATACACATCATGATTTCACCTTATGAGTGAGTGACTAATGCGTTAGTGTGCTTGCCTTGCCGTGTGCGGGCTGGGCTGCCATGACGGGTCATGCGGTTGAGGTGCGATTGGTAGCCAGACGAACGACCAGGGAGGCAGCCGGCCGGGTAGGTACGTAGATGGGCGGGGGGCTCAGCTTATCGATGCGCCTCGCCGACGAGAAGATGATCGGGCGAGGTGTAATTCGTCAGCCAGCCAGCCAGCCAGTGGGAACCAATGAGAGGCCCCTTTGTGTGCGCGGCGCGTGCATTACATATGGATTGGTTTGTGTGCGTCCCGTCCCGTCCGTGAGTGGTCGAGTGGATGGTGGGACCGTGCTGTGAGTGTGTGTGTGTGTCCTTTATCCATCCATCTCTTCATCCACCTATGACGTAATGCCTGCCTTAATGAGTGCGTGGTGCGTGGTGCGTGTTGTGTGCATCCCCCCATTCCTTCGACGAACTGGTGGGCCTGTGTGTGTTTGTGTTTGTGCGCGCGTGTGTGTTTGTCTACCGGTTTGTATGGCCGTGATGTGTGCTGTGGTGCGGTACGGTGCGTGAGGACGCGTTTCAATGAATGGCATATATTGGCCGGTGCTGTGGAATTCAATCGGGTGAGGGCATACATCGATGGGGTCGCCCATGGATGGAGCTGCAGCCATCTGTCTGTCTGTCTGGGTGGGCGGGTATGTATTTTTGTCTTGGGCGTAGAAATGGCATCTCAGTCAGACCGTATAACACACAAGACACACAAGACACACAAAACACACAAATACGGCACAAAAGACAGACAGACAGACCGCCATCGCCCCTCCTATCTAGCTCCATCATCTATCGCTGGGCGCCATCGATCGTTTCTCTCAGCCACAGCTGCAATGGTGACACAGGGATGGCTGGCACCGCTTCGGTCACACACACACACAACACACACACACACACGCCATTGATTGCACATCCACTGCTGAGGTGAGGTGGGTGTTCGGTGCGCACACTGACTTGGGAAGTCGGCTGCCATCTGCAGACTGATCCCAGCATAGTAGCCATTGAAGGCGAGCCTGACGATGAATCGCAGCCCTCCAGGGCTGGAATGGTGTGAAGCAGCTTGCGGATGGTCATGATGCCGTAGATGGGATTGGGCAGCTGGGGGGCGACGTCGGCGAGCGGCTTGAACGAAAACGGCGACGCGAAGAGGACGGCAAACTCCTGCAAAGAGAAGAGAGGCACGAGAGGAAATACACAGGCGACATGATTGGTGTGCTGTTCATATATCTGTCGACTGTATGGTGTGTGCACTGCACATACTGGCAAGGCCTGCTCCATCAAAAAACGACTCAGCGCATGTTTCGCTGCGTCGATGTACTTGAGGCCGTATTCGCTATATGCTGCATCGCCTTCGCCGGATGCTGCCCAGAAGGCGCCGTAAGGGAAGCGAAGGCAGACCTTCGCCGCGACCGAGTGGTAGTCCGGGAAAGGGAGCTGCATCAAGCGCCTGCACCACCGGACCGGGTCGTCGCAGACGGGGTCGGGCAGCAGCCCGTCCATGACGCCCTTCTTGAATGGCAGCATGCCATGGACGCCCTTGTCATGGACGCCCTTCCCGTATGACAGCAGCACGATCGTCCAGAAGATGAGAACCATGAGCCGGAGGACGAAGAAGCCCCACAGGTCCTGCAGCGACGGGATGAGCATCGAAGCGAGCGGGGGGACCGTCGGGTACACGCTGCAGTGCGGACACGCAATTGATACAGACAGAGAATGAATAGAAGTCGGTCGCTCGGTGCGGATGGATGGATGGATGGCTGTGATGCTGTGCGACGCGCCATTTGTGTACCTCCTGCAGATCTCACAGCGGGCCGGATCTTGGCCTGAGAGAGAACACACGAATGAAGCCACGGTGCCACCAGCCCATCCATCTATCCATCCATCCATTCTCACTCGCTGACTTACTCATGTTACGCCATTTCTCGAGGCATTTCCAATGAGCGATGCGGCACTTGCACGGTTTCTCAAGTATGCCCTCCGCCGAGCCGCCCCAGCAGATGAAGCACATCTGATCCTCCATTGTCGACGTCAAAGCTCACACGCGAGGACTTGCGGGATCACGTTCGAAATCGGGTGTTTACATCAGATTACTTTGTAAACACTGGGAAGGGGAGCGCCTCAGCTGTCCCTTCTCTCTCCGGCCGTTTCGTCCGTCTTCTGTCTGTCCCACTAGATACCATTGGGCCTGAAATGGTTTCTGCCTCAGGGCCTGCCTGCAATGAAGTCAGGGTGGTATTTGTCTTAGGCGTAGTGTGGACACGTCAGTCAGACCATACACAACACAACACAGTACACAAGACAGCCGACCAGACAGCCACTCATCCCGCTACAGAACTCTCCCCCTGAGTCCCCTCCCTTCCCTCTATCATTCTCTGTTGTATCTCTATCAATCATCTTGTCCCTCCCGTATCTTGTCTGTCGTTATCAAGATCTTGTTTGCTTGTGTGGCTGATGGGTGATGATGGCCCGCCTCTATCATCACTTGCGGCGGCCCAGCAAGCCACCTAAGCCAGCTGCAACACACACGAAGAGACGCACAATCATCCAAAGAGGTCCCCAACAAAGGGCATGCACTCTGATTGCTCACTGGTGGGAGGTCTGTCTTCCTTGGGTGTGGGCAGAAATTTTGCATTGTAGGCCTGCTGCTGAAGGCCAATGTTCTTATACATGTTTTGGTCCCGCAGGTGGGGGAGGAGTCTGCCTCCCGGCACCCTCTTCGAAGGCGTCCCTGACCCAGCTGTAGGGGGCGGGGGCAGCTCGGTGGTCATGTTGTGGCCATACTTGATGCGCTGGATGTTGAGCTCCTCGGCCGTGGGGGGAAGCTTCTTGGGCGTGGGGCCTAGGGCCATGTTTGTTATCTGTATGCCATGCCATGCCAGCCAGGACAGCCAATTGGCGACAGACACATTGCGACTGTAAAGGACCTTGACTCACCTCGTCGCCAAAGGAAGAAGACAGAGAGTATCGGCGGGAGTCTATGTTGATATGCTGCGATGTGGGGGTGGCCGCGGGGCTCTGTTGCTGCTTGGGCGCGAAAGGATTGGTCGTCACGACCGGCTCTGTGACCTGCAGGCAGGCAGGCAGGCAGGCAGGCAGGGGAGAGAGAGACACCGACAGAGATGTATTCCATGGATGGTGGCGAGCCATGACTGTACGCACGGGCGTCTGTCTGTTTGTGTCCCTTACCGCCATATGTGTGCGAACCGGAGACTGCTGCTGCTTCTGCTGCTGCTCGCCCAGCATCCGAGCGCTCAGCTCCTCAGCGCTCAGCTTGTGAGGGGTCAGCTTCTGAGCGCTCTGCTGCTGAGCGCTCTGCTGCTGCTGCTGCTGCTGAGCGCTCTGCTGCTGAGCACTCTGCTGGGGCTCCTGGCCACTGGCGCCGCCACCCATGTGCACGGTCCCTCCCTGCTGCACAGCCACACAAGCAAACGGAGACATAACACGCATGTCCACTGTTCTGTTTGTCTGTCTCCGTTTGTCTGTTGGCCCCCTCCCCCCTCCCCCTCCCTCAAGCCCTCCCTCCCTCACGCACCGTCTGTGTCGTCGGGGGCACCTTGGGCATGTCTGTCGCTGTCGTCTGGGCAGCATACGGCGTGAAGAAGCCAGGCATCTGCGCCTGCTTCGGGGCGGCCTTGGCCGTCTTGGGTGTGGGGGTGCCCGACAGCTGCTGCTGCTGCGGCTGCGAAGTGGGTGTCTTGGGAGGAGGACCAGATGGCGGTTGCGTGCCGGCCTTGGGCACAGGAAGCGACGGATGCGCCTTGCCCACCCACTGCTGCTGCTGCAGCTGCTGCAGGGGCTGAACCATCGGCTGCTGCTGCTGCTGCACGGGGGGCTGCACAACTGGCTGCATGAGATGCATTTTGGGCGAGGCAGTGGGCTGTTTGGGTGAGCCGGAGGGCTGCTTCGGTGAGGCAGCTTTGGGGGAGGCAGCGGCACCACTTACGACCTCTCCATGTCCTTTCTGCTGCTCCTCCTTCGGCCCCGGTTGCTGCTGCACCTGCTGAAACTGCTGCACCCGCTGCACTTGCTGCACCTGCTGCGCCTGGCCCTCTTCCACACCGACATCCACACCAATACCGAATTCCTGGCCAGGGCCACCCACACCACCGCCCCCCACCACAAACCGGGTAGCATTGGGTGTGTCGTCAAACAACGAATCTATGGGCTTCTTGCCCTCCTGCTCGGTCGCAGCACGGTTCAACACGCCCTCCTTCGCCGCAGCAACACCATCAGCAACACCGCCACGGGGCACCTGCTTGGGAATGGGCGTGTCGACGGTCGAGGCGCGAGCCTTGGGTGCTGGTGGCGAGGGCATCTTGGGAAGGGCTGGGGAGGTCTTTGCAGTGGCTGGAGTGTCTTTGGCGACCAGACGGGCGGCCCCGGGCGTGCTGGGGATGGATGCCTCCGCGTCGGGCTCACGGGCCTTTTTGCCGCCAGCAGTAGTCTTGACCGTCGTGGGAGGCGTCAGGGGCACCACCGTCACTGCCTTTCCCTGCACCTCCTGCTGCTGCTGTACCTGCTGGACCTGCTGGACCTGCTGGACTTGCACCTGCTGTTGCTGTTCCACCACAACCGGTGTCTCCGTCTCTGTCTCTGTCTTCTTCGGTGCCTCCTCCTTCTGTTGTGTGAGCTCCTCTTTCTTGACGGGCGGCTCTGCCTTCTGCTCCTCCTGCTCCTCCTTCTCCTCCTTGGCCTTGCCAACGACCACCACCTCACGTTCCTGCACGGCCTCCTTGACCAACACGGGAGCCGCTTTCTCCGATTTCTCCACCTTGACGTCCCTCGTGGGGCCCATCTGCCCCACCGCATTCCCCGAGCTAAGCGCGACGCCGGCCACTGGGGGCGGGGTGCCGATGGGCGTGTGAGGGGTCTCACTGCCAAGAGGAGGGAAGAGGATGCTCGTGTCTTTGCCTTTGTCTTTGCCGACGGCTGATCTGGGGCGGTGTCGGGGTGAGAGGCGCTCCAGCTTGGGTGGCTGCTGGCTGGGCCAGGATGGGGAGAGGGAGGCGCCGAAGAGCTGGGGCGCCTCGTTGCCGAACTGGTCGAAGGTGGCGTGGATGATGCATTGAACCGCCGAGTCCTGCATCGACGACTTGATCTTCATCAGGTCCTTCAGGGTCTTTCCTTGGAGCGCCCAGAGCCTGATTGCGTCAATCAGTGTGACAAAGCCGTGACGTGTGTGTGTTGTGTGTGTGTGTGTGTGTGTGTGTGTGTGTGCGGCTGTAGGCATGTCGCTGACCCTTTGATCTCTTGCAGCTGAGCGTCGATCTGGCAGTGAGTGCCGTCCTGGAGGAATCTGAGGATCTCTCGGCGGTGGTCGGCCGCGCTGTCCATCCTCTTGTAGTACTCCTCGTGCAATTCACCGTAGAGGTTCGAGAGATGCTCGTAGCCCCGGTCTCTCGATGCTGCACACACCACCGAACACACCACACCAGCAGAGTGAGAAACGGCGCCCTTTCCCTCTCTCTCTCCCTCCCTCCCTGCCTCCCTCTGTGTACCTCTGTGTATCTGCTGCCTCTTTCTTACCAATGCTGGATGAGACCATCTTGGCGAGTTCGATCTGGTTCTTCTCACATGTCTCCACCTTCTTGACGAGGGCCGTGCTGACCCGCTGCTGCTGGGTGGCAGTCTCTTCCTGCCGCTTGCTAGACTCTTCCTGCCGCTTGCTAAGCTCGGTCAGCATGGCTTTGAGAGCCTCAAACTGCTCGTGAGACACGGACTGTTGCTGCTGGGTGGCGATCGTGGTGGTGGAGGTGGGGGATACTGAAGGGGAGGAGGGAGCAGCAGCTGCTGGAGCAGCTGATGTTGTGCGAGGTGTCTTCTGTTTCTCGGCCTCTTGTTGCTGCTGCTGCTGAGGCTGTTCTTGCTGCCTTGGCTGGTCCGTCTGTTGTGCCTGTCGGGCTACCCACGAGTGAACGTCTTCCAGCAGCTTGGCCATTTTCTTGAAGGACCTGCGAACGTGATCGATCGCACGGATACAGTGGGGGATGGAGTGGCTGCATATTGGGTGTCTCTGCCTGTGTGTGTCTGTGTCTGTGTGTGTGCTTACATCCGCATGCCGTGGACTTCCCGGATGATTTCCCAGTGGTATATGCCGCCGCGATCTGCACACACACACACACGCAATGGCAGCGGTGAGGCGGCCGGGGGTGGTGTCGTGTGTGTCATGTGTGTGGTGGGGTACATTTGAAGTCGGCTTGGTCCTTCTCGGGCGGCCACACCCACACGAACCCGCACCAAAAGGCATACAGGCCCTGCACACACGAGACACAAGGAGACAGATGCAGCCAGGGGTGTGTGTGTGTGTGTGTGTGTGTGAGGGTCCCATTGGCTTACCATCGCGACGGCCGCGATGAATATGACATACTGAGTGGGCCCCTCCTGCTGCTGGGCCACCGACTTGATTAGCTGAGCGCCGCTGGCCGTCCACTCCATCAGTGGTACCAGCCCCAAACCACCTGCACACCAGACACACACAGAGAAATGTGAAATGTCGACGGAGACCTGGTGGGCCCGTGTGCTGGGGGAGCTTGCCTGTCACTCCCGTCAGCCGCCGTATGCCGTGTGTCGTCCGCAAAGCGGTACAGCCCATCAGGCCCTTGACTCCCTCCCAGCTCCTCACCTCCCTCAACCGATCCACACCCACCCACATCGCCGCGTCCCTCACTGTGTCCGTGACCCTTCTCCACACCATCTCCACCGTGGACAGCTCCTCCATTCTCGGCTGCTTGATCCACTCCAGCATAGGTGTCCCGTCGGGCGCCACCAGGCAGCTGGAGGGGTCGCTTTTGCGGCAGGTTGGGGCGGCTTCGGGTTCAGCTACATCGGCTGATGCGTCTGCCATGACGACGGGCTCTGCCTCCTCCGGCAGGGTGTCCTCGGTGCGAGGCGGCTCGTCGCTCGCCTGGTGGTGGGTCGGGGGTGTAGGTGGCTGTGGGGGAGGGGTCGGAGGGGGTGGCTGCTGTTGCTGCCAGTCTTGATGTGCTGGGGGGGCGGTGGGTGGAGGGGTGGCGGGCAATCGTGGCTCTTCCTGTCGATGCTCGTGCTGCTGCTGAGCTGTGTCATCGTGTGTGGGTGGTGTGGGGGGTTGCTCGTCTCTATGGTCCTCTCTTGCCGCTTCGGGTGTCGGCTGAGAAGGCCTCTCGTTGACATCTAGGCCCCTCGACTCGTCTGACATTGGGTGCTGGTCGTGTGTCGGCTGTGGGGACTGATCGGTGTACGGGCTAGAATCTGGCCTCTCCTCATCAAAATGCCTCGACTCATGGTCTACTACTGGCTGCTGCTCGTGTGTCGGTGCCTGATCTGAGTGGCCGACTGCCGTTGGTGCTGCTGGTGGTGGATCAGGTGGGGAGGAGGGGGCGGGCGAGGGCGGCTCAAACAGCTGTCCATCGTTGGTGGTGCCGGCGATGGTCGTGTGGGCGTCAGCCTCTTCGGCTGCCTGTGAGTCCTGCTCCTGTGCGGCCCCAGTCGGCACTTCGGACTCAGTGGCTGTAACCTGGGGGAAGGCGCACACACACACACACACACACAGACGGATGGGTGAAGTTGTGTGGTGGTCAGTGAGTGATGTCCGTGCCCAGGCTGTCTACCTCTGCTGTCTCGGCTTCTCCCTCGTGTGCCTCCTCAGTCTCAACAGCTTGATCTGCTGAATCAGCACTGGTAGAGTGGCGGTCCTCCGTGGGCCTGCCCTCATCATCACGTGCACCAGCTTCGTGGTTCCCTTGGTCTTGGCCTTCGCCAGCTTCTTGTTGGTCCCTTGGGGTGTGCGTGGGCTGAGTTATCTCAGCTGCCGTAGTGCCGTCCTCACTGGAGCTTCCCTCGGACGGTTTGTGGCCTGGATGGTCGGGGCGGTGCCCGACGGTCGGCGTAGGCCGGATCTCCTCAACTGGGCTAGCGGTCGTCTCGGATGGGGTGTTGGCTGCTGCCTCGCCCGACTCCGCTGCCTCACCCTGTCGTGACTTTTCCTCAGTTGACTCCTCCCGTCTGTGCTGTTCCTCCCCTGAGTGCTCCGGTGTCTCCTCCTGGTGATGGGGGCTGTGACTGTCGCCCTCTACGGTGTCGTCCGGGTGTGTGTCGGCCTCAGCGGGGCCGTGGGAGTCAGCAGACGGCGGGTCGGGAGCTCCCGTCTCCTGTGCCTCTTGTGGACGGTCTGGCTGCTCCACAGGCTCATTCCTGGGGCCGTTCCGAGGAAAGTGCGTTGGAATCTGAGGGAGACGGCACGGAGAGGGTGTTCCCGACACACACTGCGATGCCCCAGACCCTCTCTGACTCACCCGGTGGTTTGGCTGCGGCACCCAGTAGTCGCCCCGATAGATTTTCCCCTCGTCAGCAAAGACGCCTCCCGGGGTTCTCTCGTCCGGATGGTCGCTCTCCGGCGCCCAGACCTGCACACACCACCCCAGTGTGCCGATTTCTGTTGCACTGACGGTGCGGTGCACCGCAGCTTACGTTGAGAACGAGCGAGGCCGTGAGAAATGCGAAGAAAGGTAAGCTTATCAACATCATGAGTGCGAAGCAAGATGCGGGAACCTCATCGAAGCGCTGGAAAGTAATATTGTATGGGGGCCGTACCCTCCCCCGCCCCCACTCCCCTGAAAAGCAGCAAAATTTCTCTCAAGCCTGTTGGGGGTTTTGTTGAGCCCCCAGTCTTCTTGGCCAAAAAGCGAGCTGCATGGCGATCCTTGCTGCAGCTCGCGCTCGAGGGAGCTGATTGAGGAAAAGTTGGAGGACTTTGTAGACACAGGGGCTCAGGCCCAACTCAGGCCCCAAGGAAAGTGGTAGGAAAGCACGCGAAATGGCGCATTACTGTGGAGTTCTCTTGCACGTGACGCTGTGATGAATGCATGAGCGGTGTCTTTTGGCAGTTCACGATGAACACATTTGCCTTGCCCCGGTGTGGTACTCATCTGTGTGGTTGTCTGTCTGTCGTGTTGTCTGTTTTCTATTTTAACGTGCCTGGTGCAGGTACGTCAGGTGCCTGATGATTGTGAGTGTCCGTCCCTGAGCCATTGTGACCGATCATGAGCACTCGTCCATCGATGGTGAAGCCCCTGCCGCTGAGCACGGCCATCCCTCCCCCTCCCCCGGGTGCCCCACCGCCCCCCTCCCCTCCCCCAGCCACAGATGCCAACGACACATCCAGCTCCGACCGCACGTCAGAGCGGTCACCGTCCATCGAACACACGGACAGGGACCACGAGCAGGTGCTTCCGTCACCTATGTCACCCGCCATGCAATGCCATGCCATGCCTTCCTCTCTGTGTGTGTGATGTGATGTGATCCATCAGGCCGCGATTGCTGCGAGTGAGCCGGTGCCGTCCGAGAGCCACAGTGAGGGCTGGCGGCGCGTCGAGGAGGTCGAGAGCTCCATCAGACGAGGGTCCTTCTCGCGCTCGGACCCCTGTGTCGTGCACATCGAGCGCATGAGCAGCCGGCTCGGCCTCGTCAAGACCAATGCCGCAGCCACAGACCAGCCCCCGACAGCCGATGACGAATCCCCCAGCCCCCGTCAGCGTGAGCTTGCCGAGCTGTTGCAGCGCAGCGCGGCCGACCACATCGACACCCAGTTGCAGGCGATATTCGCCGGCGTCGAGGGCGAGAGCGACCCGAAGGCCCTGCAATCGAAGCTGCAGTCGGCACGGTTCTGGCTGCTGCTGCAGGAGGGCGACCGGCATCTGCTGCTCGACCGCCTTCGTGAGCGGCAACGGTACCTCACCCATCTGCAGGAGGAGACGGCGCGGTGTCAGGCGTCATCGGATTTCTTGGCCCAGGAGAACCAGGACCTTATAGGTCAGGTGTCGCGGCTTGGCGAGGAGCTGCGGCAGCTCAAGGGGGAGCGGGACCGGCTCGTGGGGGAGGCCTATCACGTCAAGGAGCACCTCAAAATGACATCCGAGGAGAGCAGAAGACAGGTAGGTGGGGAGTGGGTGACAGGACCACACACAGGACCACACAACGTCTCGTCGACACACACAGCACAGAGAGTTGGTGTCGCTGCATGGTATGCAGATCAAGACGTTGAGTGAGGAGGTGAAGCATCAGCGGGTTGAGCGGGACAAGCTCCACTCGGAGCGCTCAGCCCTCGAGGCGCAACTCGTGGGCGTCAAGATCAAACTCGCCGAGGCACAGGTAACCAACCACACAGACACACAGCCCACCACTTGCACATAACACAAACACGTGGAACAGAAAGACACTTCTTGCTCGCTTCCTGCCTGCGTGCCTGCATTGTGTGTCTGACTGACAGGAGAAGCAGGATAACTTAGAGACGCTTGTGGGCTACTACACCAAGCAGCTGGAGCGCTACGCCCCCCACATCCTCGCCCAAATCCAGGTGAGCATCCATCCCCGCTCGCCTGTTAAGCAGGGCCGCTCGTCCAGCATCAGCGGCGCCTCCCCCAGCAGCCGCGACACCCCCATCCCCCTCCCCCCACCACTCACCGCGAGGCCCGACTACGGCGAAAGAAACATCCGCTCCTCTCCTGGTCGAGCGGCGGTCCCAAGGCTTCCTATCGGCGGCATCTCAGAGGGGAGGGAATATAGCAGCGGGGCTGGCGCTGGTGGTGGTGGCCCGGGTTTTCTGACTTTTCGGGGACTGTTTGGGCGAGGGACGGGGCAGGATGACCATCGAAGTGGCGGGGGGCACTGACTGCAGTGGGGAAAGGGACTTGCTGTGGTGATCGATTTTGCTTTATCGCTCCGTTCCTTTGTTTGCTCACGTCGGCTTGGACGCAGTTGAGTCCGTCCGTGCACATCTGCATGACGAGGGCGGGAAGGAGGGCGGGAGGGAGGGAGGGGTGGGAGGATGCAATGCGCTGGTGTTTGCTTTCAAGGAGGACCCACGCGGTGATGCGTTCGTGACACATACAGGGGGGGTGTCTTGTGCTATCAGTGTTGATTCTCGATCGTAATGATGATGGGTGACACTTCAAGTTAGCATGCGGATCGGTCCATCAATGTACTGCTCTCTCAGGCTACCTAAGCCCCCATGCACAGCCACAACGCATCCCCCACAACTCTCAATCAGCTTTCACCCTCTTGTCGGCAGGGTCGTAGGTCGGCAAACCCAGGAAAGCTCGGGGGTCGTCAATCTCGGCCTCCTCTGCCCGCCTCTCTCTCTCGGCCTTCAGCCTCGCTCTCATCTTCTCCTTGCCCAGCACCAGAGCCATGATCCACCCGGGCATTCGAAACAGCTCAATCAGCCGGTCAAGCGTGGTCAGGTCGACCAGCGACGTCGACTGGATGATGTCTTGTGCGTGCTCCTCAATATACGGCCCCTTGAGGGCCGCTAGCAGGCTCGTCGCCACGATGGCGGCGTTGACCCCGCCCCGGTACTGGAAGAGCCACAGCGGCATGCTCTGCGTCTGAACCATGAGGTAGTCCAGGCCGGTCACCACCAACGCACTCCCCGCCGTGGCAATGTAGGTCTTCCAAGGGTTGTAGTCGGCCCCGATGAGCACGCCGACTCCCATGGCCATGGGAACAACGCCGATGCACAGCCGCGGCCAGCCGTAGAAGAAGGAGCGGCGCGACCCGTATCGGGCGATCTCCGCGCCGAAGTAGGATGCGCCCCAGAGGGAGAGCAGCAGGCCGCACACCTTGACGTGGTAGTTCATGATCATGTCCCACTTGTAGGGCGACTCGATCAGCAGATAGGCGAAACCGAACAGGCCCACAGCCCAGCCGAGCGTCCAGCACACGAACCTGCCCGCACGGGGGGCCTGGTTCTTCTCATCGTAGGCGTAGAAGCGCTCGATCGTCATCTTTATCGAGTTGTCGAGCTCTTCGGCAAGCTGCAGGGACACCTTGAAGGAGGGGGGGACGGGGCGGGGGACGTACAGCTTCACATAGCTGCCCAGAGTGGTCACATGCGGCACCTGCTGAGAAGCGGGGGTCTGCGCAAACGCACTGCCGCTTCTGGCTCCTCCTGACGGTGGCGGCTGTGCTGGTTGGCGGGAGAGTGGGTCCTCTCTTGACGGCTGCTGAGAGCGTTGTTGCTGCTGCTGCATCGATGGTGTGAAGGACGGTGCTGCGGCGGCCGATGAGTGATGCCGGCATTGGATCTTCGTCGAGAGCTTCCGGTGCTGAGGCCGAAGAAGCAGTGGCCGATGCATCACAACGACCCGGTAAGCCATTTGCATTCACCGAAATGCCGCCTTTCTCTCTCCGAAACTAGGAGATCTTCGTTCCTGCTGACAAAGGCAGAGATGTTGATTGCTTCTGTTGCTCGTCCTCTGGTGGTGGTTAAGGGGAAGATTTCGTCCTCGAAAGCGAAGCAAAGCTCGCACTCCACCCAAGCTCGCAGGCGAAGAAAAGGCCGAAAAAACCGCTGCAAGAAAAGGCCGAAACCGCCACAGATGGATGACTATGATGCAGTGAGTTGTTCTTGGAGGCGATCTGGCAGTTTATCAATGTCAGCCAAAAGATGCGCCATGCTGTGGCTGCTGCCCGTCGTCTGCATCCTGCCGGCCACGCAAGGACACGCAGCAGCGCCAGCAGGCTTCGTGCTCAGCCGCCCTACACCACTAAAGGCAGCAAAGCGGACGGCGGCCTCTCCATCTATCGCTGCTGCTCATTCTTCCGCTGACACCCTTGGGGAGGTGGGCAGAGAGAAGGACTGCATTGCAACGCGGATGCGCGTTGTGTGTTTGATTGTTTGGTTGATGCTTGTGTGGATGTTTGTTGGGTGTGAATGTGTGTGTTGCAGTCGGAGCGGTTGCAGAAGGGCTTCACTGTTGACAAGGGCCACGCCCGGCGGCTGCCGGTGAGGACGGTCGAGGAGCTGCACCGATACCTCGACAGAGGCATCAAACTACCGTAAGCTAAGCAAGCCACTCACTCCACACGCATGCTGCTCGCATCATTGCATTGCCTTGTTCATGCATCCCTCCGCCCATCCCCATCAGGCATCTTGACATCCGTGGCCAGACTCACCTACTCCCCCTGCCAGACAAGAACCCCATTATCAACCAAGCAGATGCATCAGCAGAGGTCAACTGCACCGGCCTTCATCCGGTGCTGCAGGTGCTTTACAAGCGCCGCCTCGAGGGCTCCCGGCCCGGCCAGCGCACCGACGGCCACCAGGTGGCCTTGGCGATTGAGGGCGGAGGGATGCGGGGGTGTCTGGGTGCCGGGATGGTGTGTGCTCTGAAGCAGCTTAACCTGACCGACTGCTTCGACGTCATTTACGGCAGCAGCGCGGGGGCGCTCGTGGGGGCGTACTTCATCACGGGGCAGGTGCCTTATGAGGGCGGACAGGTCTACTACGACTGGCTGCCGGCCGCTGGCAAGTGAGTGCCCGATGGATGGATGGATGGATGGATGGATCGAGAAAAGACAGATGGCATCCGAATCGGAATATCGGCGTGTGTGTTGTCTGTGTGGGTGTAGGGATTTCATCAACACGGCCCGCGTGCTGCGGAGTGTGGGTCTTGGTCCGCTGGGCGGCGACGTGTGGGATTGGCTGCGGGACAAGCTGGGCAAGCCGGTCCTCAACCTCGACTACCTCCTGAGAGATGTGGTGCAGAAGTACCAGCCTCTCGACTGGGAGAGATTTCGGGACAAAGAGAGGCACCAACCGCTCAAGGCAAGCGACACATGCCAACCAAGATGATTCGCACAGGAATGCGTGTGTGCGTCTCCATGCATTCTGCAGATCGTTGCCAGCGGTCTTGTGAGCCGCCAGGCGGTGGTGCTGGATTCCCATCACGGCAACTTCGCCTCCCTCCCCGAGCTGGCCGAGTGCATGCGGGCGTCCATGCTGCTGCCCGGCATCGCAGGTCCAGTCGTCAGGCTCAACTCAACGGGATCCAACGTCCTGCGGGTCACCGGACCTGCCTTCGACAACGGCAGGTGCGCTACCGACACACACACACGCACAAACACACACGTTTACTCTCTTGACGGCACTCATGTGTCTGTCTGGTGGTATCTGGTGGCACAAAGGATGCCCCGATTTGGCGGCGAGCCGACGGTTGAGAGTGGTGAGCCGATGGCGGACGCTCTGCTCTACGAGCCCATTCCCTACCGATCGGCTGTGCGCGAGAACGCCACACACATTCTGGTGCTGCGGACACGACCCGACGGCGTCAAGGTCACGGGCGCCTTCAAGCTGATCGAGAAGCTGATCATGGCTCGGTTCTTCAAGGCCAAGAACAGGATGCGCGACATCTACACCTACATGAAGCGCCTGGGCCACAAGGTCCTCTACGCCGAGGACATCCTCTGGCTCAACAACCGCACAATGGACATCACCGGTGCGGCGGGGCCGCCACACGCACTCGCCATCTCGCCGCTGCCCGATCGCACGGAAATCGCCAGGTCATTCAGTCTCTGTGAGGGTCTGTCTGCCTGTGTGTCGGCAAGGTATCCACCGTGTTTGTTGTCGCTCGGTCGCTCGTTGACGCAGGTATGAGATGAGCCGTGAGGCCATTTTTAACGCGCTTCGCGACGGATTCGCTCGGGCATACGACGTGCTGGTGGCCGACCCTTTAGAGAGAGGCAGAGGCGCACAAGTCGCCAAACAGGTAGTAGGGACACACACACACACACACACTCATGCAGGAGAAAACAGATCGGTTGACCGTCCGTGATTCCTGTCGCGTGTGTGCAGGTCCTGCCCGATGCGATTCTTGACACCGCGCCAGCCCCAGTGACCCACAGCCTCTTCGCCAATGGTGACAGGGCTGCCACATCAGCACCAGCAGCCGCAGCAGCAGCCGACCCCCTTCAGCCGACCGCCCCTCCCTGCCCCCCCAATGCAGCACAAGAGTCAGCTGCTGACCCCAGTCTGCCCACAGTCAGCCGCTTCACCACGTCGGAGGTGCGGCGGTGGTTCAGGAATCAGATGGACTCAAGGGTGTGGAGCTTCAGCGAGCCGCAGCCACCTGATGCTGATTCTGATGAGGGCGACACACGCCGCGCCCCAGGAAGGGGAAAGAAGATGAGGATCGACGTGTTGTTGCTGAGGCTGCGGTCGTCGTTGATGAAGAGCCAGGCGAGGAAACGCAGACGGCGGCAACTGCTGCAGCTGTGGAGAAATAAGCGGGCCGGGGCGGTGCTCGTGTAGGCTGACAGACACGAGGGAGGGAGGGAGGTATGATAGGTCATATTGTGAAGGCTGTGGTGTGGGTGTCCTGGTTCGTGTTGCTCGCTCCATTTTTGTCGGATCATTGAGATTTTTGGAGGGGCCGTTCGTTCGGTTGGCCGGCCGTCCTGTTTTTTGGCCTGACACACCCATACCACACCACACGCACCATACCCACCCATTAGGTCTAGCTAGCATGGTGCCCTCCCCCACATTACGAAGCCGTCCATGCCATCCATGCATCCGTCACGTCAATGTAGATACATAGAAGAAGGCAGAAACTGTGCGAGGGTGCGGTGGGGTGCGGTGGGGTGCGGTGGGGTGCAGTTTTGTTGGTGGTGGTGTATAGGTGACTCAGATCAGCCAGCAAGGAGCCGCTGACACACACTCACTCTCTCACTCTCTCATTCATGTAAGGGAGGGGGCGGTTTTGAGCAGTAGGGGGGACTAATGTGCCTGTCTGGTCGACACCCATCTGTGTGTGTGAATGAATGCATCTGTTTGTGTCTGACTACTCAATGCTACCGTCTGTCTGCAGATGGGCGGCATGCCAGTCAGTCATTCATTGATTGATTGATTGATTCATTCATTCAATCATCCGGTTCATCGTACGTCTTGTGATACCCCTTTGTGCATCCCTCTGCCTCAATGTCAAGAGCCCCACAGCACTCGTAAAAGTACACCGTCCCCTTCCCACTTGCAAGTGCCTCGTCCGTCCTCCCCCTGTCGCCCATAACCGAGCAGCACTGGCCCTTCTGCCCTCCCCCTCCCCCTCCCTCTCGCCCTCCCTCTCTCTCGGGGTCATCTGTCTGCTGCTGGCTCTCTTGCTTGTGCCGTGCAATGAGGTCAAGCCGACAGACGTTGCTGTAGTTCCTCTCTCTGGTGAATATGTCGAGATACCAAGCGGCAGCGGCGCCACGGAAGAAGGACGGGTGGAAGCGGCAGCTGGTTGGGCCGTTGTCCAACTCCTTGAAGGTCTCTTTGCACACGCGGCATGTGCGCCACCTCTCGTTCTTGGGATCACTCACTGCAGGGGACACCCCTGATGGGTCCGCTGCCATGGCAAGTGAGAAGGCCTTCTGACAACACACACGAGGAAGCACCTGAGAATATCCAATTCATCATTCTTGGCACTGATCGTTCTTGTGCTCTCACCTACCTTACCTTCTTACTGGTTGGTTGGTTACTGGAATGCTCTTCTCAATCCACTTATCTCGCGCTGCAGCAGCAGCAGTTTCCGGAGCACAGAGAACGCTTAGAGCGCGACTCGGCATTAAACGTAAACTGCCATTCAGAAACACCAGAGTCGTTCAGTGGCGATGTGCTATCGATAAGTCCCGACTGTGGTTCTATAGTCCAATTGCTATATAAGTGTGGCTTTGGTGCGAGGAGAATGAGTCAAGTGCTGCAGAGGATCCTCACGGAGCAGGAGCTCCAGGAACTGGGACTGCCAAGGAGAGAGTGAGCCAAGCCCATGGACCCACACACACAAGCCTACTTAATCATCTTGCTTCTCTCTCTCTCTCTCTCTCTCTCTCTGTGCCTGTGTGTGTGTGCCTGAAGGGAGCTGGTGAACCAGGCGGACACGCTGAGCTGCCGGTCCTTCCGCAAGCTGCGCTGGATGGCGGTGGCAAACTTCTTCGGCTACTGGGGAGTCGTCCTCTTCTGCCTCTACAGGTGCGTGGCGGGAGCGTACCAGTGAGGGAGCCTATGACAAGCACCACTGAGCACAACTCACTCACCGATGCTGTGTGTGTGTGTGTGTCTGGCTGGCCGGCTGCTGTCTGCAGGTTTCTGCAGTCGCCTTTGTTGGTGCCGGGCAGCTTTGAGGTGTGTCTGTTCCTGATTTGGTGCTTCCTGACCTCCTTCGCTGAGGTCCGTCTTGGCATCGGTCTGGTGGGCCTGCACGGCATCTCCCTCGTCGAGATACTCGCCTTCATCCTCGGTCAGTCAGTCAGCCGGCAAAGATTAAGCATGACAACTGGCCGCCAGCCGGCTGCAGGTCCCGAGAGATGTGTGGTTTTGCGTGTGTGTCGGTGTGTGTGCAGGTCTGGGTGGTCGGACGGTGATCTTCTGCGACGTCATGTTCATCGCCATCGCGTCCAAGAGCTGGCGGCTGATCTTCCTCACCGCCCTGACCGTCTTTATGGTCGCCATCGGCCTCTTCACATTCCTCCTGCAGGCGCGCATGGCCCTCACCCTTTTCATCGACAACGACTTCTTCTCGTTCGAGACGCCACATCACGTCGTCAAGCCGTCGGCGTGGGCCCGCATGTGGCGCTTCACACGCACCCTCTGCACACAACTGGCCGCCTGCCTGCTGCACCTGCCCGTCTCGCTGCGGCGGCTTCTCCGAGGGGTCCGGAACACGCGGGCTCGGGGGCTCCCCTGCTTCCCCTACACGGACAGGGCCGCCGGCCAGTCGAGAACGCTCCGGAGCGAGAGCAACAGCCTGGTCAACCCCCTCACCGCCATGAGCCCACACACCCACACAGGCGCCTCACCAAACGCAGCCATGGGCGGCGGCGGTCTGCAGCCCATAGAAATGGGCCATCTCGCCAAGAGCCCCATCAAGCAGCACAAGGGTGGCGGCGGGGGCGGGGGCGGGGGCGAGCTCAGCGGCAGCACAGCAGCCGAGGAGAGCACCGATGGGGCGGCCTCATCCGGCAAGTCGGAAGGGTCTGGGCGAGCGTCCCCGGCCGCGAGCAGCGCCGACCACGCGGCCCCCTTATCAGACAGAGGCCGCCCCTCCCCCCTCCTTCCAATGGCGTCTCGCGCCGGTGCCCGCACGTCAGACGAGACGGGCAGCGAGGGCTCGGCCACCTGGGTGACGGTCAACCTCAATGAGAACGATGACACAAGCGACACTGACCAGAGAGGGGGGAGGAGGGGTGGCGGTGGCGGTGGCGGTGGGCGGGGCGTGCGTGTGGCGTCGGCGATTGCCGAGGAGGGCGAGGGGGAGGATGCTAGTGGCAGTGGGGTGTCTCCTTTGGGAGGGGGCGAGAGTGACGACGGTGAAGGGTTGGTGGACAACGAGACTGGGACGAGGGCGGTGGTGCAGCTGGCCAACACGTTCCACCATATGGACCTGCTCTTCCTCCAAGGCATTCTCAAAAAGGTAAATAAGGTGCCCACCCCTCGTACTGGACTGCACTGGGAGAGAGGGAGGGAGAGGGAGGCGTGGATGCTCTATCTATCTGTGTGTGATTGTGTTTGTTCCTTTATAAAGAGGTTCGTGCCGCCTGAGATGGTGGAAGGCCACGAGTTCATCGTGGCCACATCGACAGTCAGCCGCTGCATGTGCGAGGACCTGGTGCAGTGTGTCCTCAAGGTCTTTCTGCTGCTCGGCTACGGCTACAACCCCTTCATCATGTTGGCAGTCGTCCTGTCGGCCGCACAGGCCTTCTTCATGTGCTGCTTCTCGTCTGCCTCATTCGACGAGGTGCAGCCCAGCCTGGAGGAATGGTTCCTCATGTGAGCGACGGACGTCGACCGGATATATACACACGGGCGTGGCGTGTCATCGCACACGCCCGCGATGAGCCTAAGCGTCCGACCGAGTCGACATCGTGTGTGCGCCGTGGTGATGCGGTGCGCCGTGTAAGAGCGGCTTCTTGCTCGAGTTTTTCGTCTGGCTGTCTTCCTCTCTGTCTGTCTGTCTGTCTGTCTGTGGTGGGGCGGAGAGTGTGGCCGTGCAGTCTGATGTACAGGTGGACTCATTGATCGATTCGGCTGGCTACACATGGGACTTTTCATCGGCTGCATTTGCCTAAGTCAAATTGTCCTACCGAGGTGCATTGCGTTTTCAATATAGATTGACCCAGCAAAGACGATGGATGGGCGGATACTCACTTCCACGTGGGTGCAGTGCAAATTGACACACAGGCTGATGGAAACAACAAATGCATGCACTGGGTGCAGCTCCGGACAAAAGGATCGCCCAGATCTCCACTGAGGATATAAGCTGCGGCCTGCCATTCCTTCCCCTATTGCCGTTCCATTCTGTGCCTCTGTAACAGTCAGAGGCCTTCGTCTTTCCTCAGGTTGATTGAACGATCTGATCTGCCATCTATCACTCATTCAAGGCCATGGAGAGCTCGTCATCTCGCCGTCCCCCGCTGCAGGAGAAGTGCATCCTGGTTGTCGGCATGAACCCAGCTCACCAGCGGACCCTCATCTTCGAGAGAGATGGGCTGAAGCTGGGCCGGGTCAACCGTGCGCAGCGGGTCATTACGACGTTTGGCGGCAAGGGACAGCATGCAGCGGTCGGCGAGGCGCAGCACAGCACTGCACGGCACACTAGAGAGAGGGCCGATTTTGCGATTGAAATGCCATGAAATGTGTGTGTGTGTGGTGTCGTTGTGCAGAAGGCCATCAGTCAGCTCCACCCGGGCGCCTGCATTCTGCTTCAGGTAGCCTGGTACAGCACACATCGATCACATCAATCAATCATTGGACAGCCCTCTGTCTGTCTGTGTTTGCTGCAGCTCTTGGGTGGGCCAATCACCGCGTGCACTGCACGGAGCCATGACACTTCGATCACTGCTGCTTGTCATCCATCGATCCATGCCATGCGTCTTTTCCTTCCGAAGGAGGCCAGTCGGGCAAGGACATCTGCGCCGCCCTCAGCCAGCTGCCCCTCCACCAGTGGACCTTCTGGTACTCCGATGCCGAGGCCGCCACCCGGACCTGCACCACCCTCATTCAGCTGCCAGACCCATCGTCGCCCGACACCAGCCGACACAAGACCGTCATGACCGAGCTGATTGACCCTTCCCCAGAGCTCACGGCGGCCGAATACGACACCATAAGGAATCCCGTGTTGGATGCGCTGTCCAGCGGAGCAGTTCGGGAGGGTCTCAGGGGAGTGGCCCTGTGTGGGACCTTCCCGCCGGGCATCCCTTCTGCTTTGTATGAGGGCATCGTGCAGGCTGTCGCTGCGAATGATGCGGCCGCTGGCGGGGGGACAGAGACCGTCATTGTGCTCGACGCTTGGAAAGGTACACACACACACACACACACACGAAGAGTGGGTGTCACTGTGTCATGGCGGGCGCTGTTTCCTACCTGCAGGTGTGTTGCCGTGTCTGTCGCGTCAAGTGGTGCACACTCTCAAAATCAATGAGGAGGAGCTGTGGGACCTCTGTGGGGCGGCGCTGCCCGACCACCTCACCATCAAGACCACGTCGCAGGCTGCAGCCCTCCTCATCGACAAATGCAAACTACACGCAGTCGCAGGTGAGTCATATCAGAGCCACACTCACACAGAGAGGGGGGGAGGGCGGGAGAGACAACGGCTTCTGTCCCTCCATCCCTCGCTTGTGTGGCTCAGTGACGGCTGGCGGCAAATCGGCGGCCCTCTACGTCAGCCAGAGAGAGGGAGGGGAGGGCTCAGCCTCATCGGTGCGGCTACGTGAGTTCGACTTCACTCTGCCCGACATAGAGGACCGGCTCAAGAATCCAATCGGGGCCGGCGACACCTGCACGGGCGTGTACCTGGCGGAACTCCTCACACACCCATTCACAAGTACGTGCGCAGACAGACAGGCAGACATGCAATTAGTTAATTGTCGTGGTGCGGTTTGGTTGGCAGGGCTGGGCGAGATCGATCCACAATGGATAGTGGACGCCTTTCGCAAAGGTCTCGCGGCGGCGTCCGCCTCATGCCTGCAGTGGACAGGTCAGTGAGGGATCCGATCCATATCTCTCTCTCTCTCTCTGTGTGTGTGTGTGTGTGACGCCTTTGAGCAGCCTCACGAGTGTTGTGTGTGTCGTGTGTGTGTGTGCGCAGGTGCGTCGTTCGAGCGTGAAGACGTGGATGCGCTGATGGCGCAGATCGCTGTCAAGGAGACTGCACACGATTGATGAGCTCAGCTGTGCCGACGAATTCATTGGAAGGATGCAATGGACATGTGTCCACTGATCGAATGGATGGATGGATGGATGGGGGGAGGAAGAAAGAGGTCCAAAACTGTCTGTCCTGTCACACAACACACAAATCACGAAACATGGCCCATCCATCCATCCATCCTTGACACAATCGTCCGTCCGTCACTGCTCGCCAGGAAGAAATGGTGCGCTGACTTGGCTAACTGACTGAGTGAGAAAGCAACCAACACCCAACAATACAATGCGGTCAGCAATCAGCAAGCATGTGACGTGACGTCTACGGACGTCTCCACACCCACGGTGTACACAGTAGCTGGACACACATGCGTACGCACAAATACTCTCTCTACAGCGGCGCCAACCATTCATCCATGGTACACACAAATGCGCCGCGCCCATCCCGCCTTGCCCTGCCCCACCAGCGGACAGGCATGCAGCCGAGAAAACCAGTTCTCTCTCACCATCCCTCCCTCCATCCCTTTACCCTACAGGCGATGATACCAACCGACTACACCGAGCCAACAAAGATCCTTACTGCAACCACACAAGACACCGAAACCGAATGCCACTCACTCCTTCTCTCTCTCCTTGTCCTTCTCCCTCTGTGTGCGGGGCGGCGTGCTGAGCTCGGTCGTCCTCTCAAGATAATCCCGCCCCAGAGCCGTTAGCCGATATCTGACCCCGCCTGCGCCAGGGGGCACGCCCCCGTCGCCCACAGGCGGCCACGACGAGAGCGGGACGGGGAGGGTGGCACCGGTGGCGCTGGTGTGGTTCTTCGGCGAAGGCGAGGCCACCCGGCCCGACCCCCGATGCTGTGGGGAGGGGGAGGCAAGGGAGAAGTCGTATGGCGTGGAGGGGGGCGAGCCTGCCGCTGTGGCGTGGGTGCTCGGCGTGCCCACATGCATCCTCTCGATGAACTTGAGCGACCTGCATAGCCACCAAGTGGGGGCGTGTGTGTGTCCATGTGTGGATTCATGGTGTTGGTTGTGGATTTGATTCAGCTGACTTGAGGTCGTTGAGTATCCGTTGGAGGCTCTCGCCGTCGAGTTCGGGGAGCACCCCCGCCTCCACCTGCCGCTCGAGCTCCACCGACTCGACGCCGCTGACGTCGCGGCTTGTTGGCTCGGAAGGGCAGTTGCTCTTGATCAACCCCATCACCTTGATGCGCTCCTTACGGTTCCTTGGCCTGCAGACACACACACACACAGAGACATGCACAGACGTGTGTGTGAGTGACGTACCTGAATCTGAATCTCGGTTCGCGGCACTGTTGGCAGCGTGCGACGAGCGGCGGGTTGTACTGGAAGCCGCACGCCCGACAGGCCCAGTTTTCCCGCAAGTGCGGCGGGGTGTCTGACGGCGGCATCTCCTTCTGGAATAGCAGCGGGCACCTCTCGAGTATCTCGTCGCAGTCGGACGTGGTGAACGTCACTATCGAAAACGTCGGCGACTCCTCCTGAACACACAACCCCTCAACGCTTACACGAGGCTGTCTCTCTCTCTCTCTCTCTGTACGTGTGTGTGTGTCGTCTTGCCTGAAGTTTCTTGAGCCATTCGTCGCACACGCCACTGAAGTTTTTTGGCCACAGACACACACACATGGATGGATGGATGGATGGATGGATGGGACCAGCCGGACCATGGAGCGATGGGGTTGAGCTCGTCCTTGGGATCCACCACGGCAATGGCGCGGAAATCGCTCCGCCGCACTGTCAGCGAGTTGGAGATGCACGCCGATATCGCCGCACGCTCCGCACAGTTGGACCCTGCGCAGACAGACAGACAGACAGACAGACAGAGACGGCGGCATCCACACATGTCTTTTGGCAATGGTGTGTGTGTCGTCGATTGGTGAGGTATCTGACGGGCATACCTGAGGGCAGGGAGATCTCGGAGTTCATGCCCCTGTAGAATCGCTCCTGGCCGTTCTTGTCGACGACCATGACCACCGCCAGGACGATCTTGCTCGACTTGCGGTGCCAGAAAGAGTCCATCTGGCCCTCCAGCGACTTCCACTCATTCACGTAACGACGCGCCTCGTCCACTATCCTGATTGATCGATCCATCAACACACACACACACACACACATCAGAAACCTCTTTCTTCGGGGGGTTTTCGCGCTTCACTCACTCAGTGACTAACCGTTTGAGCGGTTCCCTCGGGTCGACCTCGCTATAGAGCCGCAGACGTGTGTACTCCTGCGTCACCAGCCACCGGTTGCTGCCCGCCAGCAGCCCAGGAGGGGGGGTGGTGGCTGTGCCCCCAGTGGCCGACCGGCCGCTGTTCTCCCTGTCCAGATTCAGAAACGCCATATCGCTCGCCGGCGGCTGATCGGCCTCCAGCTTGGGCGTGTTGGCATGACTCCCCGGCCGCGACGACCGAGCCCTCCTCGACGACCGCTTTCGTGACGGTGATTCCAGCTGGTTCCTGCCCGAGTGATAGGGGTAGCTGCTGCTGGCGGTGCTGGGTGGCGCTGACTCGCAGTAGGGCACCGGCGATGACTGGTTGCTGTCGATTGCTGGTGTGGTGATGGTGACGTACGCTGGCGACGAGGGCCGGTAGGGAGGGGAGGGGGAGGGGCAGGGGGAGGGGGCGGGAGGGAATTGGACATGGTGAGGGTTGGGGCCATTGACCGAGGCCGCAGCGACAGCAGAGTTGCGCACGGCCTCAACCGCATCGGCAAGTTGTGGGCTCAGTCGCGATGGCTCCTCGTAGAAGGTGTGTATCGGAAGACGCCCATTGGACTTGGCCGCAGTAATAGGCGGGACGAAGTCGCCGCTCGAGTGATTTCTCCTGACGCCCTTATTCGGCCCCCCTCTCTCTCTTCGCCCCATTGGCCGCACCGCCGACCCAGCTGACGGGGGGGACACACCAGACACCCCATTGATGCTGCTCATGACGCGAAGCCAACACCCAGAAGTGGACGAGAGGGCCGCAGCACGAGCAAACTTTTTGCCTCGGTCCGCACAGACACCGGAGGCTTCTTGGGTTGTTGTTGTCGATGTGCTGTAGCAGGAGAGCCGTGTTTTGAAGGAGGAGTGGCTCGGCACGAGTGGTTGGAGCCGCTTGCTGATGACGAATCGGGTGTGGCGTGCAAGGGCCGGTCCGGGTGGCATCCGCGGGCCGTCAGCTGCAGCGGACCACCCAATGGCATCTCATTGGCGGTGTGACGAGACGCTCTCAGCTCCAATTGCTTCTGCTTCCATTGACCACCGCTGCCTGCTGAAGGCATAGAGATTCATCGCTTCCTGCGTCTTTGCTTCGATTCTTTCGAACTTCGAACCAGCAGGAGCGGTTTCATGGAGCACCCTAACACAGACCTTTGCGAGCTCAAGGAAGGGAGAGGGTGGAAAGGGGCATTTTCCGCCATCGAAATGAGGCGCACATGCGGTCTTGTTAGCCGACTATCCATTGCTGTGGCTCGCCGCCGGCCTCCCTTCATCGCCAGTGCTCAACGGTGCAAGAGCAGCATCGTGCCACGAGGAGACCAAGACCGCAGCAGCCTCGATGACAATGCCGTCGCCCCGCCTGCGTCTGCAGCCGACGATCCCCTCCCAGTGCCATCAACAAGAGAAAGTGGCGGCGAAGTGTCTGTGAAGCCGACAGCCACAGAGTCTGACTCATCGCTCACGGCAGATGCTGACAGTGGTGGTGGCCTGGTGATCCCTCGCAGCTGGCTGGACGTGCTGAGCGAGAAGCGGCGCAGGCTGCGGCCGCAGAGGGAGACCAGGGTGGCGATGATGGCCGCCACGATGCCGGTGCAGCGGGCTGTAGAGGAAGATCTGGATAGCTCTGGCAGGGAGGCCCTGCCGTGGCAGGCCTATGTGGCCCCGCTGATGGTGGGATGGTTCTTTCTCTGTTTCTGTGGCATGGGCGTGTTCGCGCTGGCGAGATGGTCAGCCAGACACACGGACAGAATGAATGAAAGACGGAAGGCAAACAGCACCCACGACATATCTCTCTCCCTCTGTGTGTGTGTGTGTGTGTGCGTGTGTGTAGGTTTGATCCCGGGTATGTGGCTGCCATGAACTTGAAGGCACTGCGCACCCCTACCATATGAGCCCATTGTCTGGCTGAGCCAGCCAGCGACCATCCATCCATCGATCCACCGGTCGGCCGTGTGCAGTGAGAGGGGAAGGGTGCTTCTTGGTCGTCTTTGTCGATGGTGAGTGGGCTGTCATCAGGGAGAAAGCCTTAAGGCCGGGCGTGAGAGATGGATGGATGGATGGATGATGGATGGTCGTGTGTGCTGGGACCGATGGAGGGATCAATCAATCAATCGATCAATCGATCGCGTTAATTTATTTACACACGAAGGGGATACATCAGACAGACACGTACGAACACGGAGGAGTGAGTCAGTCAGTCAGTCAGCCAGTCAGTGAGTGACAAATAAAGCAACAAAACACACACATGCTCATCTTTATATATCCATCAAGGAAGGTGTAGAGATCCAGAGTGCCATAAATACACGTAGCCAAGGGGAGGGAGTGAGGGGAGGGAGGGAGGCAGAAAGACCGACACACCGAGCAGAAAAGCCATGCCAGCCAAGGGAGAGGGACAAAAGTCACTCAGTCACTCACGGCCGGGATGGATGGATGCATGGATGGATGGATGCATCCGCCCGGCCAGCTGATAAGGACAAATAGGTGTCTTAAGAAGACGGGCGATTGACAGCAAGCCCCAACCAAGTAGTAGGCAATTACAAAACATACCGACAGACAGACAGACAGACAGACGGACAGACGGACGGACGGACGGACAGACACGCACACACCATCCAGCCATGCCCGACGGCCCTCTGTGTGTGTCCTGTCGGTTCTGTGTGGTCAGCGTCGGCATGCAAGGTCGGACACGGCACGCGCGATTTGCGGCGGCGTGTCTGACGTTGCACGCGAGTACCCCACACACAGCCGACAGGACACATGGGCCCCGTACTCGCCCAGCGCACCACACGACAGCCACTCCGTCCTCTCTCCCTCGCGCCCTTGAGATATGAGATCGTACAAAACCTCCCATCCCATCCACCACACACACTCACTATATATGAGCACACCATGCATTTTACCCATGCGATGCGTCATTCAGGCATCAGAAAGCGACAAAACTACCGACCGCAACCACTCCACTCTCTCCCCTTCCCCCATCGATGGCATCCCCTCTGTCTGTCTACGTCAGTCATGTGAGCTCCAGCACACAGGTCTCGTCCCAGTAGGGCTCGTTGGTGCTGTGTTTGGTCTTGCTCCGGTAGTAGCGGAAGAACCGCTTTACGTCCGTCAGACGCAGCCACACCTCCGCATAGGGATCAATCCCCACAGGGCCATCCGCTGATGACAATGACGGGCCCTGTGGTCTACGCAGACCCTGCGCACGGAGCAGCTGCATTGCAACACACACAGACCGACACACAGAGAGAGAGAGGCGGTGGGGGTGGAGGGCAGGGGGGAAGGTTGTGGGCACCTACTTGTATGTGTAGTTGAGGGTTGCCTCTCGGTCCGTCCTTGACGTCAAGGACCACTTCCAGGTTGCCCGTCACCCTCGGCACCCCCTCCCCTCCCTCCCCCATCCCCCGCTTCGCCCGCTGCGTCACGCTACTCAACGTCGGCTGCATCAGGGGCATGTCCAGCAACCCACCCACACAGTCGCCCTGCCGCATGTCGCGCAAACTCGGCAGCCAGCACTCACCCAGGAACTGATCGGGCCGCTTGGCCACGCCGCCCCAGATCTCGATGAGGATGCGTGTGGAGGCCGTGACCGTCACGGAGAGGCCACTGCCGCTGCCGCAGCGCATTCCGGGGCTGCCGACAGCCGAGCCCGAGCCGGACATTGCTGCGGAGATGGGAGAGGGAAGGGAATGCAGCCGGGGGACACGCGCGCTGTGCGTCATGTTGATGCTCATGAAGGACGGGGGCGCTTCCTGCTGCTGCTGCTGCTGCTGATCGTCGTTGTGATGGTGCCATTGCTGCTGCAGGGTGATGTGTGCGGGAGCTGGGGGCGAGGGCGTCTTGTTGTTGGTCATGTGGTGGTGATGATGGGGTGGGGGCGTTGCTGCAGGATGGTTGGGAGGGCTGAGCGAGGCACGCTCGTGATCATGGTCGTCCTCATCGACGGGCGGCAGCAGCGGGGCGTGGTGCGGGTGAGGCAGCCCCCTGGTCTCCTCCACACCATTATTATCAATGTCCACAACTTGCCCGCCCAGGAAGCTCTCCCTCTCGGCAGGCGGCTCCGCATACGCATACACCTCCTTCTGCATCACTCGAGGCCGATCTCTCGGCGCCTCTCTGACCCTCCCCCCACCCCCACCACCACCAGCCCCACCCCCTCCAGCCCCCAGCCACACCTCCGTCTCCTGGCTCTCGCTCGCCGTCGGCCGCACGGCCGTCGATGCGATATCCGCAGGGCTCTCTGACCCCTCTATGTAGCTGTCGTCTCCCAGGGGCGGCATGGCGCGCCCACCGCCCAGCCGCGGGCCCTCCACGGCCGCCATGCCCATCACCTCGGTGATCGAGAGCTTCGGGACCGGCGTCGGCCGCTCGCGAATGTGCGCCTGCTTGAGGGAGATGGGCGTGGTGGATGGGGAGGTGCTCCGCTGCTGCTGCTTCTGGGTGGGAGATGGCGACGACGATGCCCATGAGTGGACGATTTGGTTGTTGGAGTGGGGGTCGATCTGGGAGGGGAGGAATGGCGGGGCGGGGAGAGAGGTGAGGACGGCACGGTTCGCCCACGTGAAGTGCTGCAGCATGTCGAAGGCACGACTGGTGGCGCGACGCAACACACCGCCGAGGCAGCAGCGGAGCAAAGAGGCCGCGGCGAACCTGACACAGAGAGAGAACGAGGTGTGTGGGGGGAGGGGAGGGGCGAGGTTGGGTGCTTGGCTTGGTGGATGCGTGTGTGTGTGTCTGCTCTGCTTACTTCCTGTCCTTTCTGTGTCTCTTGTCAGCGAGTCTGTGTCCCTTGCTGCTGGCGAGGAGCCGGAGGCCGTACCACAGCTTCTCCTCACACCCTATCGCCAACTTGCTCCCCTCTATCACGCCAACACGCTCAGGCCACGTCGCACTGCTGCTCCCAATAGACCTGCGTCCAATCCATGGCATGGCCACACAAACGAACAGCCACCCACCCACACCCACAGGCATGATGCGTGTCAAGCCATCCAAGCAAGGGGTGGGTCTGCAGACGCACCCAGTGGTGTTGAAGGGTTGGAAGAACGAGTTGACGGCGTCATCGATCTCGTTGTCGTATTGTGCGACGGAGCGCCAGTGCAGGGTGGACTCGCCGCGGATGTGCCGGCCATACGAGCGGAGGGACGCCTCCAGACGAACCACACCCATCTCGTGCTGTCCATTCATTCATCAAGGCGCACCCCCCACCCCCCCCCCCAC